CACTTGAAACGGAAATGTGGCAAACGGGGTAGCATTGATTAGAGGATATGAGGCTGGTGAGACGAATGCAAGAAGAATAAATACCAAATTTGACCGTGATTTGGTAGTTGAGATAGGACGGCACGAGTAGTAGGTTGTCTATATTTTTCCTCTGGCACCCGAGCTTCACGAGGCCAATCATGGCATATGTATACAGTTGTTTTATACGACGAAAAAAATTATTGAACATTTTAGACATTTTAGTCTCTTTCTTTAGGAGGACCGAAGGCAATTCCGCCTATTGCCCCTTCGTAATAGGCCTTTCTCCATAAGATTGGCAGTCGTCAAGCCTAAGAAGTGGGCAATAAGAAAAATAAACCTAGACAAGTAGTAAATAGACACAAAGACGAAATTTAAATGGCCAGGATTTATGATAGGGGCGTAGGACCAATCTTTGCGCAAACCAATAGCACATAAGTATTGAGTGGATTTCGTCGCGTAGTTTGATTCTGCCATAGTTGTTTGACAGCCTCTCGGATGTCATAGGCTTCTGTTCCAGATACAAGATATGCCTAGGCCATTAATCTAACCTTGCTGATATCCTGAGCCAGGAATGTCGCCCAGACCGTCCTCTGGCCCAGAAACTTAACTAAGCATGACTGGGAAAAGCTAGAAGACCCAAAAAAGAACATAGAGTGATTTTCGTAGCATTCCATGTGAGTGCCATTTGAATATAATTTTAGGCTTGTCTGACGACAAATGACTGTACTATCCGGAGGAAGGATTATAACCAGCTATATACTTTGACCACTCCGTCTTCAAGGCTTGCTATTTTTTGGTACATAGACAATTTTGGGCACGTGAGCGGAGTCATCGGAGTTGCATGACAGTACGCATAAAGCCTAAGTCAGAACTGCAAGATGATCACCTCCAATTGTTTCCGATGTGGCCAATTTAAGAATTGAGCCCTTTTAAAAAAACACAATGGTGCAACAACAAATGACTATTAAGGGATTATTATAAAGCAAGTTCCTCTTCAAATTCATATTGGCCCTTAGTTTGCTGAGTTTGTGTCCTGGGCTCTTTGGGGCAATGGGTTACCGGAAGGAATTGGGGATGAAGAGGAGTGTGAAGGCACAACCAATACAAAATTCCAGTCGTTTTGACTCCACTCCAGCGCTATTTAACGAATATCCTACGGTAAATAAAATTGAATCCAAGTTTCGAGAATATCAGCGATCCCACAGTGATATGTGTTAGTCTCACGATGACGTCGCATGTCACGTGAGAGGGGTTTCGATTCGTCCAGGTCTCATCAGCACTCCAGCTATTGGATAACACGACGCCACGTTATCGTTCCATCAAATAGACACAGGCACGGCTGAGTCATGGCCTCGTGCAAACGAAAAGCTTGAGTCCACAATACAATGAACTACTCAATTCGGATCAGGCCTTACCACGATCTAGTTCGGGTTTGGGCCTGTTTTAGGAGGCCTCTCCTCGGTGGTACTGAGAGTTTTCACAGAGCTTCACCGAACAGCTTCAAGTAAAAGAAAAGCTATTTCTAATGAAGCTGCCCGGTGTTCATGGCGGTTCGGGTTGTCTCTATCGCAGTGTTGCAGATTTTGACGAATATTTGCCCGACCACTCGTAGATGTAGGAAGAGTAAATGTCATTAAAACCAGTAACCCTCAGACAGGATATTAGTCATCCCGGCTTATTCAAGGTTGTTTATGGACTCGTAGTCAGGTCCATCTATCCTTTTATGCTTAGGTATTGAGGCCTATTTTTATTATTGTAAGAGAAACTCCACCACAACGCGACCCTTTTAAGCCACCCGCACGGCTAAGGATGACTAAGTCATTATTCAGGAATTGATTAAAGCCTCAGAGCCTACTCATTGTGAGTAACCTTGTCGACTATAATGGCAGATAGGGGATCGCTTCACCAGCAATCTTGCCATGGTTTGGCTTGAAAATCACGTAGTCCCGTAGCCCATCGGCAGGCATGACTGCGTGTTACCGCAAAATTCGCAACCCGGCCCGGGCCCTTTGACAGCCCCATTCTTGGACGAGTGAGCGACTTGGGATCGAAAGGCTAAAACACGCCGCTTAAGTTGCCATGAGAACATTGAACTAAAAAGTTATTAAAAGTGGGTTGACCTCGTTGTCGCAACTTGGACTAGTTGTCAGGGCGACTTAGTAGAAGGCACTTTGTCCCAAGTCCTCTACCAGACAAGTTATCATAATTCCCGGCATCAGACGGTTGACTTGGTACATTTTCAGAGGAATGGCAGAGGACTTGGAGTAAAGGTACGTTCTGCTAAGTGGCTTGACGACAGGTCCAAGTTTCGACGAATTCAAGCCACTTCTATAAATAGAAAGGAGGCTGCTACCATGCCGGGGTAACAGCGTTTTGGTCTTCTTATCCTAGAGCAAAAAGTTCTTAGTTTGAAGGTGGAGATATTGGTGCCTGCGCCTAATAAAGCCCGATTTCGGCTTTGGCATTCACCATCCGATCGAGCCGACAATCGAATTCATCAGGATAATGCCTTGTTTCAGGGCTCGAATAGATCTGCCCACTACGTCCAGTTAGGTCTGAAGTGTTGCCAGCCTAGGGGATAACACACGAATGGTGGATAGTTGACAGTATTTGTAACCAAGATGAATGTGATGCAGAAAAGTCGTTGGCCGGAAAAACTAGGCCAATACAGCTGTGAAGAGCACCTATCGCTGAAGACAGAGATGACGACAAATTTACTCATGAAAAGGAAGACCTAACAAGCCAAAGCAACACAAAAGGCGCAAACGGAAGTCCAAGTCCGTCCTTTGGAATAACACGGCACAGAGTGAGTTCGCTTCGAATTAGGCTATGTCAGTTGACGAGACTGAACCGCAGATCGACCCGAGTGAAAGGGAGGTAGGTTAGCAACCAACAAAAGGCATGGCTACGACTCGAATGCGCCACGGCCACCAGAGTACGAGCCTGGGAAGACAAGGCTCGTCTGCCGGTCGGAGCCTGCAACTTCGAAGCGTGACGACTGAGAATAATTGGACCCATCCCCGTCTGGCTGGACGTACGAGTTTAGGCGTTCAATCGGGAGCACCAGGTTCAAAATTCGGCAGTTGCGAGGACACAAGGTTGCCCGTTGCCCGTTGCCCGTCACCCGTCTCGGGCGCCTTGAAGGATGCACGGAAAGGGGAAACGCGTCCGGAAA